TGTGTGGATTGCTATCCTACTTTTTAATCCCAAACATGTTTCGCTTTATGGATTGTGGAAAGGCTTATACCCCCCCGAGGATGGAAATCATTTTTTGGATGGCTATTCTAAGCAAAATAAACATAAGAGCAAAATAAACATAAGCAAAATCATCTAGTTATAAGAGATATACTGGGGCTAACGATGCTATATGTCCTGTATGAATGTTGTCTGTGGAATTGGTTGATCGCTCACTCATCCACTATCACTGTCATTGGAGTATTTAGTCGAAATTCATAGAATGGTGGGGACTTTCTTGGTGCTGCCCAAGGAATCTTTCAAATCTATTCCAACAATGGGAGTTTCTTATACATGAGGAGTTCCAAAGAAAGGTGTGGTCAATGTTTTTCTTTACCATATCTTGGTCCATATGGGATTCCTAGGAATGATCTTGTGTTTAATAGCAAACAACCTGATTATGAGTCAGCTTTTCTCCTAATTTTAACAAGATTATATGTATGGATCAAGGCACTATATCCTTATTTCTCATATTGTGCATTAATTTCTCTGTTGATGGGTTAGTTAAATGGACAAATGTCTATTTCTCTGCTATTGTGGTCCAGCGGATGCTTAGCCCAAGTAATAGACCGTGGAATTATCAAGAACTATTTATGTTGGCTTCTAAATTTTCATATGCTTTGAGGACCGTAAATTTCACACATACTAGCAGCGAAGCAAATCATATGGCAGACATGCTTGCGAAACAAGGAGTTTCGAGAATGTATTAGTTTGTGGCATGAATGTGATACTGTGGCTTCTTCAAATAGATTTTTGGAACACAAGATGTCATGATGTCTTGCTTCATGTTGTTTTTGTTCGGTTAACCCCTTGATCAGTAGTTATCTTTGTCTTTTCAAGGCTTTAACTGCTTTGCTTATAAAAAATAAAAATAAATATCCAGACATATAACTTGATAAGTACCAAATGATTTAGCATATAATGAGGTTCAAGAACTTACTTCAAGAATTATTTCTTTCGGAGAGATCTAGGTTTTCCATTGCCATTATCACCATCAGCTACTCCATCCAGCAACTTCATCAGATCCGCCTTTGTTTCAATCAGATCTTTCATGTTCTGTCCTTCGTTGCTTATTAAAGATTGCCATTGATAAAAAAGCCACACCTTCTCTCGAAGCGAACGCTTCTTTCGCCTTTGGTTCTTGTGCCAATAAACCACGTTCTCTGGATTCTCAAGCCAGCTCTTGTTCACACTTAAACTCGAAATAGAATCAGGAAACTCTGAGAGCTGGTCATAACTAATAAAAACCTTCCCTTCTGATCTAAGCTCATCCATCTTAGCACTCATAATCACCAAGCTTCTCAATGTTTCCGGCCGGTAATATAATACTGTCCAATACAAGTCCAGTGCTGAAGAATTTTCGATGGTATCAAACTTATCTTCCTCTAATTCAAGAGACACCAGTGGTCCTTGTATAGTTGATAACAATCCAACTTCATTTGCTGTGCATGTGTAAGTTTTAGAATGATCACCTGCCCATTCAGCCTTTACCTTGGTAACGTGTTGATAACAAGGTGTTTCTGGTGTTGGAGAAGGACAATGACAGAGCTTAATTTCAAAAGATTCCAGATTTGCAAACAGCTTCATGATACCAGGGATTGCAGATGAGGGAATGTGGTTGTGAAGGGTTGCGCATGGGAGAGAATCAGCATTCTCACCTGTACACGACATTCTGACGGACAGATTAACAGTTTTGGAGACAAAGGAAGCCCAGTTCTTGCAGACAAGGAAGCAGCGAATGAGGGTTTTGGGGTCATCTTCCACTTTTGAAAAGATTATGGTGCTCAATTCATCAGGTAAATTCACGAGTTCGTCTGATAACATTGCTGATCTCCTCAGCATGATGTCTTGGTTTGGTTTTGGCTTTGTTGAGTTGATTCAGATTTGTTCATGTTTTTTTCTCAGGTGCAGATATTGTAGTTGGTAGAGTTTACGTTTGGCAACGTTTGGATTCTTATGAGAGGGAAATTATGGAAATGGTGAGCTGCACGAGGTTTTAGTTTCCATTTTAGGTGGACGAGGATTTAATAGCCATACCAATTTGATTAGGCCTCTTGAGGCCCACATTAACATGGCAGCAGTTTAGGGTTACCAAAATTTGGGTTTGCCCTATCTCTCAACTTTATCAAAACAAATCTCGAATCGAGTCATGACAGATAGAAGATAATTGAATTACTTGAAATGCATTTAATCTCTTCATCTTTCCACAGTTAAGTGGCATGCATTTTTATCCTCATTGTTTTTTCCATTTAAGAAACATGGCTAAGCCATCTTACTCATATCGAACCTATAAAATACCGAATGGTTATGTCGGTGAAGGCTTTGGAAGAATACAAATAAGCTGTAAAATAGATTTATTCCCTAGTTAGTGAATAAAATCTTTAGCTACAATATGTCATATTTCTAAAGGAGGTTTTGCTGATTCGTTTTTAAGTGAAATAGTAGTTTTTGTTTTAATATATATATATATGTATATGTATACATATACATATATATATGTATATATATATATATATTCATATTGAATTTCTTGTAGGCTCGTCTTTATTGATGTTCATATATATATAAACTATGGAATAAATCATGGCTAGTTATTACAAACCTCACATTTCAGCTGTTCTAAGTAATACTCAAGGTTTCACATAGCAAGCATATATGAGAATCAACATAGGAGAAACAAAAGATTATACGACAGAAAGAGATGCTGAAGATCTCTTCAGAGCTTTCTGGAACTTCGAGGTGGTATCCCATTGAATTTCTTATCAAAATTCTTAATTTGTTCATCAGACTTCTTGGTACAGGGAGCTCTTCATCTGCGATTTCCATTAAAATATATGTTACAATGTTTGGCATAACAGATGAGGCATAGGATGAGCAACATAAATCAGTGAAACTATAGAAACATAACTAGAACACAGTGATGGAAATGTTGCTTCGACATAACCGCACTTCGTAATTTGATAGGCAGATAATAAACTAATATGAATAAAGACTAAATTAAATGCCAAAACTCAAAACCAAATGGAACTTCCCTAAAACAGACTAACACTTTCTTATTAATACTATGTGGTATCCTCCTATCATTAATAGCTTCAAATGGAACGTGGATGGCTCCTCTCTTGGTATGTCATGCCTCTCTGGAATAGGTGGTGTGCTACGAAATCACCATGACCATCTTCTCGGTATGTTTTCTGTTCCAGTTGGTATTTTAGACTCTAATATTGCTGAGTTAAGGGCTATTGTCAAAGCTATTGAACTAGTAGCATCTAATTGTCTCTTCCATCATCAACACCTCATCATAGAATCTGACTTTGTTAATGTCATTAGCTGGATGAATAAGCCTTACAGCCGTTCCTAAAAGCATCATAATCTGTTCTCCTCTGTTAATAGACTAAAAGCATATTTTGGTTCAATCACCTTCTCCCATATCTTTTGTGAAAGTAATTGCATGGCAGATTGCATGGTTAAACAAGGAGTGCAGAGATCAAGTGAATTTGTTGCCTGGCTTTGACTCCACCATTTTTCTGTGGCCTTGCTCTTGTGTCTTCTGCCATTATATCTTTGAGTTATTTCCGTTTTGTTTTATAGAGGAATGTCTAGCTTTGAGCTCATTCGGATGGATATTCTATGGTTTTCTTTGCTTTTGTTTATCTTAAACTGTGCTTCATCCTATATATGGCTTTTTGCCATAGTAAGATATTGTATAACTTCTGTACTACTCCCACCAGACTTTGATTTTTAAATAATATACACATCTTTTAAAAAAATAATAATAAGAGGATGACTACACAGGAGAAGAAAAGTAACAAAAGATAAGCTAGAAAAATTACAAGCTAAATATAAATCAAACAAATTTAACTAACTTTCTTATTAATTTAGTAAAGTAAACAAAACATACAAAATATAAATTTATGGAAAAAAAAACTATAATCATGCAACCAAATCATATGATGTATGAACTCCCTAAAACAACACTTCTTTTCTTTTCATCTTGCCCATGCTCTTTTTGAAGGTTAATAGAGCAAGAACATGATTATATGAAAATAAAGAGATCAACTACCATTTAGAAACTTTTTTGCCAATCAATCAATTAATTTTGAAAACACATACATAAAGAGGGTTAAGGACTCAAGCATTTAATTTCAAAAGAAAAGGCACAAGTTTTCCAACTACAAATGGAACAAGAGTTCATTGATGAATGCTAAAAGGAGTATATCATTATAAATGAAGCTCATATTGTTACTAGTCTCTGATTTGGTTTTTAAGGTAGGGAAGCACATACATGATGCATTAGTCAACAATAAGAAGAGAAGTCCTCGTAGGCTTAACTTTCCTGAAATTCAATAGCTTTTCAAATTAACACATCAGACCTATAAAATCAGGTTTATCCTTGTTTAACTCCATAAAAAAAAAAAAAGAGCAGATTTTCAATCTATAATATCATACAACAATCTTTTCATATTAGCTAGCTTTTCCTTTGGTTTAATAATGGTAATCTAACTATATTAATAAAATCTCTCTATCAACATGTCAAATAATTATCTTGTCCTGTGATTGTTTATACTTAATTTTTATCACATAAATAGAGATGATAGAGATGATGAGATTTGAACTTGTAATTACTTAATCATTAAAATTTTGATACCATATTAAAAAATTATCTCAACTTAATACTTTAAATTGTAAGGTAAGATCCCAAGATATGATTTATATTATTCTCTAATACACACGCGCGCACACACACACATATATTTCATATTCTTCAATAGTTAAATTTGAAGGAAATAAATTTAGTGCTTATGAATGGCAAAAGGAACAACTTTCACTTTCACAGAGACTTCTAATTGAATGACTATCTAACTTCACTTCTATAGTATCCAATTTTAATCCCACGTGTTGTAATTTGTGGCTTGTAAATAGATGTCGGAGTGGAGTGGAGGGAGGGGAGTGGAATAATCTTTGACCGGCTGCATTTTTCTAGGTGGTTTGGAGATTACTATAAATATATATTATGTAATCCTATAGTAAAATAGTAAAAATAAAAGTTCATCACTCCCGTAAATGTAAGTATATTATGAACCATATTAAATCTTGTATTCATGATCAAACATTCATAATGCTATAAAACTAATAGTTGGATGCAGGGGCTGGGATTGTGATACTATTATAAGCCTGTGGGATACAAAAGTACTCATGGCTGAATGAAGTCACTTTTGGATGTGATAAGGGATAGGATAAATTTCCATCTGAATTTAATGTTTGGGTTCTCTAGTTTGGTTTTTCTTTTGAACGCCAATTTTGGCTTTGATTTTTCTTCGGTTGCCCATCCAGGCTTTTCTTTGCCTTCTATGGTTACAATCCTATGAAAATACAAACTAGCAAGGCAAAACTCTTATTTTAGGGGAAATAGCTGATCGATAAACCATGTTATCCAGGTTGTGAAGCCAGCCTATGTTCATCTTGAACTCGAAAACATTAAAATTTTTATAATTTTGTTAATATTATGAAGCCTTTTATGAACAAATAGAAATCCAGTTCTATGGTCCATATATATATAATAACTAATAAGCATATCTAACAAATCGAAACATTATTCCATCTTCTTTCTCTTATCATTTTATTCTTTCATAATAAAAATCTTTTATACAACATTTCCTGAGGAATAATGCAACATGAATTATGATGAAGTAAATTAATATGATAAGCAGTCCCCTTCTCTTCTATATGGGTGTGCCATCTTCCAAGCATCTAGCTTAAGCAACCTTGTACATTATCTTAATACAATAAAATCATCTTTGTTTCCGGCTTGCTAACCTATAGAATCCCGTTCTCTTCTATTCCATAACGAAATTACGTTCAACTATCAAAACTAATCAACAGATAACTATTTCCACCTAAAGCCCCAATAAACACTGAACTCCTTCAACTATATCCCCAAACTAAGAATCCACCAACTACTTTTAGCAAGAAGAGCCTTATATAAATTTCAGAAATGATTTTTTTATTAAAGGTTTCGTCTTCGTATCTCCCCAAGACAATAAGCCATGCTCGCATCGAACTTGAGCAGCTATTCTGGTCCTATAAACAACTTCCCTCTAGTAGAACCTCACACCTTAATTAGGGTTTGGAATAACGAAGCTAGTCAGGAGGCTAAGAAATGAACACGCTCAGTTTTTGAATTTGCCAACTCTTGTTCTAGAACCTCACTTCTTAATCAGAGCTCGAGGTCACAGTTAGGCTTGACAAGAAAAGAACAAGCTTATATACAAGTTCCGCGACCGAAAGAGAAGTTGCATTTACGAATTTCAATTCCTTAATTTCATTATCATTACTTGAAATAAATGCAGACATATAATGTAACAAACAAAAGGCTTGGTCGACATTACCATCCCACTTGACCTTCATCTTGGTGATGTTTTGACGATAAGGTGGATGTGAAGTTCGAGAGAAGGGTAATTGCAGAGCTTAATTGCGAAAGATTCCAGATTTGCAAACACATTCATGATAGCAGGGATTGCAGATTGTGGGATGTGGTAGTGAAGTTTTGAGCATGGAAGAGAATGGCCCTCATTACCTAAAGCTGAGAATCTAAGGGAGGGATTGACAGTTTCGGAGACAAAGGAAGCCCAATTCTTGTACACAGCCGTTCAGCGAATTAGGGTTTTGGGTTCATCTTCCAATTTTGAAAAGATTTTGGTGGTCAATTTGTTTGTCAACGTAACCTCTTGATTGTGGATTTGTTGGGTGGATTTTTGGATCTCATCTTCTTTTTTCCCCCCTGAAGATACAGCTAAAGAGGAAGTAGTTTGTAGGGTTTACGTTTGACAAGATTAGGACTCCTGGGAGACGGAAATTAGGGGAATGCTAAACTGCACTAGGATTTAGTTTCCAATTTCAGTGTACGAGGATTTAACAGCCATACCAATTTGATTAGGCCTGATTGACGTCGAGGCCCACATTCTCATGGTAGTTTAGGCTAGTGTGGCGTAGGTTTGTCAATCTATATCAATTATATTTTTGTTCAAAATATATAATATTATTTCATTTAAAAAAAATTCATAGGTCTTGAATTAAATTTAACTAAATCAACTAAGTCACGCGAACTAGCCTGCAAAGTCACTGAAATTTGGACAAGTCAATACAAAATACAATTTAAAATGAAATCCAACCGTGATTAAAATTTGAGTTTAATAACTAGGCTTTTCATATATGCTTATGACACTTACTGTCACAGGGTTAAATTTTTCGCTACGGGGATGGTGATTATGACTTTACTAGAAATCGTTTAGGTTGGGTTTAACTATGACATTTATGAGCCGCTAGTGTCACGGGGTAATTTTTTGCTACGCGAATAAACCCGTGCGGCAGCCTAGTCCCTCGCTAGACTCAGCCTTCCCTCGTTTATCCACTCGTGTTTGCCTATTAACTAAGTGTTTCCCTCACCCGAGAGGTTTCCCCACTTTCCCATGTTAAAGACAAGCGGAATACACAAGTAGAATTGCTCTTAACCAAGCACACTGAGAATACAAGAATACCTCTCAACCTTTATTTATCTCATCAACAAAGGATTACACAACATGTGCTATGCACAGAATTCGCATGCTACACCAACAAGTTTACATACGTTATTTCCTCTCTATGCATTCTATTCTCTATGTATTTTCCCTATACAACAAAGAATTACCATCACCATTTATAGCCAAGTATGTGAGCTGCAGGGCACCTCCATGATCCCCATATTTCAGGACATAATAGGCACTTACTCCCCCATGATCTCCATGATCATTTGTGGCTCACCTATATCCCCATTTCCAGGATATAGTGGAGAACTTCCTCCCCCATGTGCTTCATGATTTCAGCAACTTGGAAACACCCCAGTTATGCTCCCACTTTCTGCATGCTTGCCTGGCAGTCCATTTGCCAGCTCTAACTTCATCTGCTGCTAAATCACTCACATGCCTTGGACAATCCTTCGTCCAAGTTTTAGATCTTGCCAAGTAAAGCCCCTGACTTGAGCAAGCTCTTGTGCGCTGCCGAGTGCGCACCCTAGGTACAGTCGCCAAATCTTGCGATGCCATCCGCATCTACATGCAGACCCCCATGTCTGCGCTGCCGAATGCACATCTGCGTGCGGGTTGCCCAATCTTGCACTGCCCAATTTGCTTCTGCGTGCAGGCCCCAAATCCTGCGCTGCCGAGTTCGCAACTGCGTGCAGGCCCCAATGTCTGCACTGCCGCATTCGCATCTGCGTGCAAGCTAGCCAAATCTTGTGCTGCCGAATTCCCATCTGCGCGCAGGCTCCCAGTGTCTGCGCTGCTGAACTCCTTGACAGCCCCAATTCTCGTCCGCCCATGTCCCAGACGAGTTTTCCTGTCTAGCTTGGACATTCCATCGCCAAGCCCATATTCCTCACCAATCTGTGCTGTCACATTCCTCGACAGCCCCAGTTCTCGCCAGCCTATGCCCCTGACAAGTTTCCTTGTCTGGCTTGAACATTCCATCGCCAAGCCTATGTTTGTCAACATCCTGCGCTACCCCGCATTTCTCGACAGCCCCAAGTCTCGCCAGCCTATGCCATTGACGAGTCTTCCATTCTGGCTTGGACATTCCATCGTCAAGCCCAGCAATCTGTGCTGCCGATTTTTCCTTTGACAAACTTATAGCTGCATAAATCTGCGCTGCTAATTTATCCCATCGTTGGCATGACTGCCAGCACCCTTAGGCCTGGTATTGGACAGCATGCCTTAGGTGTGCACCCCGTGCACATTTAACACTGTAACACTTACCCTTCAACCACTTCGTTAATACAACCCTATACTTCAAACACTTGAAACTTATTGATTTCACATTCATTTTTAGTTTTTTTAGATAATAGTCGCAATTTTACTAACTTTTGTCTAATAAGAAGATAACCAAAGAAGTAGAAAAAAAGGCAACAACAAAAAGAAGAAGAAAAGAAGCCATAAAAGCACGGCTGCTGCAACGAAAAAAAGAGAGCAGAGACCAGACAAAGGAAAAAATGGTAAAAGTCAGCTGTGAGTATTCTGTTATTCCAGAATTTGATCCCATCAGAGCTAATCCTTGCATCCATTCCGGAGTAAGAAAAATTGTTTCTATCAATCCTCAACCATAAGGAAAGCCTGTGAAGAATCAAGTAGAAGCAACCCTGAAGATCTGGAGGAGCATTCATTTTTAGTTCCGATCAACAAAAGGGTTGCACTAGTGAAATCCCTTAACAGTCTTGTACCGAGGAGACATGGCATCTTCTCTAAAGCTAAGGGAGCGACAAACGAGTTAAATCTAATGTTATAAGAAAATGAGCAGACAATGTGAGCGTAAACACAGAGGTTACATAGAAGTCTGGAACCCGAATCGAAATCATAAAATTTCCCCCGCTATTCTTTTCCCTCAAAGACGAGCCCGCTATATATTGCTCAGCCTTTTAGGACAGTGTAGATCCTTGTTTTTGTTCTCAAGTCCGAGTAATCATAGCCATATACGTCCAATTTTAGATCCTTGTTTTTTATCCCTTTTCTTCTGCAACAACCTTATGTTAGATGCTTCCCGAGTAGGAGTGTTAAGACAATCACCAACTAACTCGCCTTTCGTTTCGGTGGAAATTCCTTTTCTGCAGAGGTAGATTCGAAACCAGAAAAGAGCAACGAGAGTGCTCAATTTCAGTAGATTTCAGATTTGCAAATCCTTTCATGATGCTGGGGTCCTGGGGATGGAAGCTAACCTTGACAACCAAAGGGTTGCACTCGTGCAATTCTTAATCAAGGTGACATTTCATCCTTGAGCATGACACTGATAAACGAGATAAATCTACTTGTTAGAAAACAGTTGAATGCACAATGTGGGTGTGCATGCACAGAAGATATATAGCAGGCTCCTCTTCATTGAGGTCCAGACTATAGAATTCATCTTCCATATATTGATATTTTAAATTTTGTAAACTCCTTTTCCTTATCCAAAGAAGGCTCCTCTTCATTGAGGTCCAGACTATAGAATTCATCTTCCATATATTGATATTTTAAATTTTGTAAACTCCTTTTCCTTATCCAAAGAGCTTTAGAAAATGTCATGGCCAATGACTACAAATCTTACATTTCAACTGCTTTAGAAAATGTCATGGCCAATGACTACAAATCTTACATTTCAACTGTTCTAAATAATGTTTAAGGTTTCACATCTAGTTTCCACAAAGGATTATTAGGCAGAGAAAGATAAACACAACAGATCTGTGGAGCTTGTCATTGAGGCGAAAGAAGCCTTTTTTTTGTTCATTGAGCATTTCATCAGCCTTATTGATAGCATTTCATCTTCCATTTGCACTCTGCAGAGAATTAAAACGTACAAGTTACAAGGTTTGACTGCAGAACAGATAAAACACAAGGAGAGTGAGCAACGAAAAGTAGTGCGACTGTATAAACATAACGAGAATACATGGCGCTGTAACTGTACTTCTTCGATTGACAGTGATAATAAAGCCATAACTGTCCACAACTCAATCACAATATTTGTAAAGTAAAGAATTATTTTTTCAATGCATTTTTCACAAAGCAAGTAAAAAAAAAAATATCATTAGCTAGAAAACTCAAGCCTAAATCTAACTTCTTTCTTTTATCATTTTCTCAAAATTTCAAAATTTCTTAAGATGCATGCAATAGCATTCAATTTTAATATGAATGTCGAAGCTTTTCTAACATTTTCTTAAGAATTACCCTTCAAATTGAACCTGCATGATTAGAGATGATCAGAATCCTAGTTAGCAAACAAATTATCCCATAAAAATGAAGAAAATGCTAAGCATGCAACTACCTTATGATCACTTCCCTAATAAAAAATATAACCACTACAGTTGAAAAATACAAACTATTTTCACCTAAACCTCAACTGTAATTGCAAGGCGTGCACAGGGCATTGAGCGATGGCAGGTCTGCCTTCTAAGTGGTGTGTGTTGAAAATGAGATTTAAGTATAATCATAAAGTTATGATTAAAAAGTTCAGGTTGCCACCAAGTATTATGATTATTAAAAATCTTATGATTTGTGAGGGTTCCAGTAAAAAACTGGTTGTGTAATGAAAAAACATATCATCCTCAGTACATCTTACCCAAATAAGCTACATTGTTATTCTAAATTATATACTTATTTCTTAGTCTTATCTAAGGTTCAAGATAGATCTTATTTTGTGAGGAAGTCTCTAACTTATCAAGTTAAAACCTAATTATTCTAAGGCCTAAATTTTAATATCGTATTTATTTTGTATTTTATACCTTTAATATCTGAGAATATACTTATAATATAATTTTACACCCTTAAATATTAAAGTTTATAACTAAATTCTAACATTTTAAATATAAAATGAATAAAATAATTAGTGAAGGATTTTTGAATATGCATGTCACTAGAATAAGTCTAAGTACAATGAAATGTAAGAGTTCCTTTCCCTTTATTTATTTCTAACATGGTATCAAAGCTAGATCAATCTAGTGGGATATCTTAGAAATTAAGGTATATATGCAGATAAAACTATGAATTGACAAGGGACATTCACAGAAAGAAAAAAAATGAAGGCGCAAGATGATGGAGCCCAATAAAAGAATTGAGACCTTGCTTTAAAAAGAGATAGAAGAAGCCTATAAAAGAGACTTAGTGCAAGTTGACGACTTACTACACATGAGACGAGATGTGGTATAAGAGATACCACATATGAAGAAAAGAATGAGAAAGGTCTTTCTAAAGGAGATGGGAAATGGCAAAGAAGCCATGACAAGAAAGGCACCAGCTCGATGGATAGTGAGCCAAAATATAATGGCCACCAGAGGAGAAAAAGTAGTTAGGAGTAACCATGCTTAGACAAACCATTCTTAAGGAAAGGAAGATAGAAAAGATGGCAATGAGATGTCATTAACAAGTCATGACAAAATGATTTTCAATCAAAATTTAAATTTATTCTTGTGAGAATTTTAAAATTAAAATCAAGGGAGAGTGTTGGAATTAATTTTGAAGTCAAAGTTCTTTTAGTTCATCTAAATGTATGCATAATTATTAAAGATATATTTATCTTTTAAATATCTTGAATTATCCTAAACTAGTATAAATATATGTTGAGAGTATTATAAATCTAAATCCAAGTCCAAAGGGAGAGTAATATTTATATGAAAGAGATTATCTTCCACAATGCTTCCCCTTTTCTCTTTCAAATATTTCTATCAACTTCTTAGTTAGGGCTAGAAATCGCTAACTACTACACGGGATTGTTTGGTGTTCTTCAATAGCTAAGCTTGACAAAAACAAGAACAGGCTCCCTTATGGAAACAGCAGTTGCATTTACTAATCTCAATCTCTTTCATTTTCAGAACTTGAAGCAAATCCAATAATATATATGTAATAACTACCTAATGATTTAGCATTTAATATTAACTTCAAACAGTAAGGAAAATGCAGAACTTACAACAATAATTATTACGGTCGGTACTCATCAGTTCTGTGTTTTCTATTGTGATCACCACCACCATCATAATCTAAGCCATTCAACAGCTCTGTATAATCTGTCTCCTTCATTATCATTTCTTTCATATCAAGTTCTCTGTTAGTTACAAAATATTGCCATTCATAAAGAAGCCACACCTGTTCTTGCAGAAAATGCTCCTTGTCCGAGTGATTCTTGTGCCAGTGAACCACATTCTGTGGATCTTCAAGCCAGCTCTCGTTCACTCTTGAATTCGAAACTGAATCACGCAAATTCGGGAGCTGTTCGTATCTCATGAAAACCTTCCCTCCTGATCTAAACCCTTCCATCCTTGAACTCATAATCACCATTCTTCTCAGTGTTTTTGGCCGGTGATCTAACATTCTCCAATAAAAGTAGGTGACTGGGAAACCTTGGATAGCAGCAAAAGTGCTTTTGCTGAAATCATGAAACAGCATAGCTCCTTCTATAGTTGATAACAATCCAACCTCATATGCCGTGCACGTATAAGTATGATAATCATCACCCTCCCAATCAACCTTCATCGTGGTGAAGTTTTGACAACAAGGTTGTGCAGTTGGAGAAGGGAAACGACAGAGCTTAATTTTGAGAGATTCCAGATTTGCAAACACCTTCATTATAGCAGGGATTGCAGGTAATGGAATGTGGTGGTGCCGTTTTGAGCATGGAAGTGAATGACCCTTCTCACCTGTACTCGAGAATCTCAGGGTGAGATTAACAGTTTTGGAGACAAAGGAACACCAATTCTTGCTGACAGCTGAGCATCGAATGAGGGTTCTGGGGTCATCTTCCATTTTTGAAAAGATTTTGATGGTCAATTCATCAGGTAACTTCTGAAATTTGTCTGCTAATCTCGCTGATCTCCTCAACGGGAAAAGTTGATTTTGGGTTGATTTGCATCTCTTCATTTTTATTTTTTTTCCTTGAAGATGCAGGTGCAGAAATTGTAGTTGGTAGGGCTTAAGTTTGACAACATTTAGATTCCTGTGAGAGGAAATTTATGGAAATGTCGAACTGTAGGAAGTTTAGTTGCCATCTGGGGAGAACGAGGATTTAATAACCACTCGTCGTTATCCTGCGCATTTGCTCTCAGTATAATTTTCTCTCCTTTTCAATTCCTTATTTTTATAAAGATTTCAGACTACAAACGAAAAATTAAATTTGTAATATGCTATTATTTAGTAAATACATGTCCTGAAGCAATAAATGATGTTATTTTTTAAAAATAAATATAATTTAATTTAAAATTTGAGTCAAATTAAGTTTCGGGTTGTTAGTTTCTAGAATAAATTTATGGTAAATTAATCGAATTTAGCCAAGTTATGACGGGTTAAATATCTAAGATGGATGACAACTTTAATAAAAACCCTAGATAGTATGTAAAACAAACCTAAAGAGCAAGAAAAAGAACACATGCATCATGAAGTAATTTAAAAATCATTTACTATTGTAATCAAATTAATAATAATTCTAAAGATGTAGTAATTGAAAGATCTCACAATTTAATGTTTGATGTTTCAATTTTCTAAAGAAAAAAAGGACAGGAAAATATTTCATATGACACAAATTGAGCAATTAATGGGAAATCACTAAATCAAGTGAAAACACACACAAAAAAAAATCCCTTGAATTAATAGAATGAAAAAGAAAAGGAGAACATGCCCATCATTTGGGACTATGGCTCTTACCTTTGCCAATTCTCCATAAAACTTAGCAATCATATACCCACCTCGCAAAGAAAGAGAGAACATACCTATAATTTGGACATGGTTTTATTTTCTTAATTGAATAATTGGCATGTAAAAACAGTTTCTATAAGCGACTTTTTGTCTCCCATCTTCATTCTTCAGTGAAGGATTATATCCCTTTATGGGTTACGGCTTCTGATATTTTGAGACGAAAAAACACACTGGATTTAGGGTTATGCCTCTTGATAGAATTATGACTCCTGACATGTGTTTGCGTTTAGGGTTATGACTCTTGACATGTGGTTGCGTTTAGGGCTATTGCTCTTTTACATTTGATGTACTTCTCTTTTAACTAAGTTATAAAAGCCCTATAATTACTCAAACTTCCAAGGGATTCTTAATTAATATATTATATAGATAGCAAGTGCACTAGATAGCAAGTGCCCCGTGCCTGCTTGCCCCTAAGGCTCACATTCTCATGGTAGTCTTGGATATGCAAAATTCAGGGTTCCCAATTCTCTTGATTTGATCAGATTCGACAAAGAAATTTGTTTAATTCTAAAACATATAGAATTCCAATTTTTTTTGTAGAGTTGTTGCAGATAAAGAACAATGAATTGCCTTAAATGCTTTTCATTTTCTTTTTATAGGCAGGGTATCGTCGAGCTTGCTCACGTGTTATCTAAGATTTGATCCCTTCCAAACAATCTTAAAAACACATCTCTCGTATCAGTATTCAAGATTAGATCCCTCCTTAAACAATCTTAAACATGCATCTCTCATATTAGTTTAGTGTATTTATAAATAAAAAAAATTATTTGTTTTTGTATATATAATTATCGAAAGCATATTAAAAAGTACATGAAATCAATAACTGAAGCAATATATAAGGATAAGATCAAATAGGAAAAAGAAAAAAAGAAAAAAGGAACAATTTAGAGAAACACAAAAAGAGAATACAAAGAAAAAAAAAAAACCTAGTGCTAGTATGCTTTAATTGAAATATAGAGACTAGAAAAGGAGAAGCAAAACCGAAAATGACTAACTAAGATTTCTTATTATATCATAATTTAATATTATTAATAAATTTTAAAAGATTATTTTCTATATAAATAAAGTTTGAATTCAAAACATGCAATTAAATAGCAACTCGATAAAAGATAATAAAGATATAATTAAATAATTTTATAATTTTTTTCTAAAAAATAATATTGTTTCTCAACAGCTAAATAACCCAAGTGATACTACTAGAAATTAATCTCCAATATGTTAACTCTAAAACTTGAATTCAAATTGTCAAGGAACGGAACAAGCATCTCCTTAAAAACCTTCGAACTAATGAATATAAAAGTAGGCACTTAAATATTTTGCCCTTATTTTTTGGCACTCTAATACATACTTTGTTTATTGAATTAAACTTTTATCAAGGATGTTATACGTTGGAGGAAACAACAGCGACGGTCAACTAATGCATAGCTGCATCTTCAAAATCCATTGCCATCGGTGTAGCCCTAATCGCATAATCATTTGATAGAGCACTGGAATGTGTCAGATGGTGAGAGTAAAAGACTCCGAACAATCAAAGAACATGATGTTATGAGAGGTTTGTGTTGAGAAATTCCGACCGGTGATATTCTGATACTTGCTCATAGGAGAGCCAACACCCCTACAGCCAGCAAAGTTGACCTTTTTTAAGGTAATTCCCTTGCTTTTGTTGGGAATTTCGACCAGTGATGTACTGATATTTGCTCATAGGAGAGCCAAGCATACTTATATAATATTTAACGTGGTTCGGCAAAATCGCCTACATCCACGGGAGAAGTCAATATATTTAGAGATAGAGAAAGAATACAAAACAAATACATGGAGGAGGAGGATTACACCCTCTCATACTCAACTCTCAACTCTCTTTGCTGCCATTGCAGCTCTCTCTTCCTCTCTACTCTCTTCACATTTTCATAATTCTCTTCACTCATTTTGCTCTCTTGCATATGCCTCTATTTATAGGCATTCATGGAGGCTTTTCTTCAACAAAGGTGGCTGCCAACTCCAACTCTTCTTCAACAATGGTGGCTGCCAACCTTTGACATCTTGGATGAGTGCACATGGTTGGTGCAATAGCAAATGGTTGTTGCACATTAATGGCAACTAACCTAACAATTACCCCCTTTGCCATTCATGTGGGGCAACTGTCCTCATTCTTCTTCAACACAAGCTTGCATCTTGCAGCTCTTCCAAACTTTCCATTTTGAGAGCTTTTGTAGCCAAGTTTATAGGTACTTGCCAAACCTTTTAATCATCAGAGTGACCTAAGCACACCTTTTCTCACACAAAAGGATCACTATAACCAGATGGTCTGCCACATCACATCTGAATAGTGTTAACGCTTGTCTCTGGAACAACATTCCCCTTCGAGCGTATCAACCACGCTCAGTCCGGAATGATTCCTCAAGCCTCACATCAAGGCTTACAACACCCCCTCAAACGGATATTTCAAGTGTGACAGTCATTATCTGAGTATCTCAATATGATCACAAGCTCACCACTCTTCCAAGAGTCTACTCATCCAGGAGTTGCGCCTGCCCTCTGTTCCACCCTAGGAACCACGCCTTACTTCTCCATGAGTCTCTCGCTCTTAGTCTCAAGAGTCCAGGTAGCTTTCCACCTTTAACCATGGGGGCAGCCCATAAAAGGTTGATCCATATCTGTCTTCATACTCTGAGTATTACAATGCCATTACCGAGCTCACCACCTTGACAAGAGTCAACTTGTTCCTGGAACCTGCGCATGCCCTCTGCTCCTTCATAGCAGCCACGTCTTAATGCTCCACAAGTCATCCACTTATTGTCCAAGGCAAATGTCTTCTAGCTCATTGATCTTTAGCATAGGGGCAATATCCATGAAAGTCAATCCTGCATTTGTCTCCATACTCATCATAGCCCTTTTATTGGCTATCCATCTGTCCACTCATACCTAGCCATCACATTGGCTCTGGGGCGTTCTGAACTGGGCTCCTTCCACGGCCCTCACACCTTCTCCTGAGGTGTCTTCGCTCGTCGTCATGCGGCGGTCTGATCATGGGCTCATCTCATAGCCCTCACACCTTCTCTTTAAGGTGTCTTCGCCTTTTATAGGCAGTCGCATCCTCCTTCAGCTAAGATGCTTCAAAGTGGCTCCATAAATTCTTTGTCACTAATTACATAGAAAGAGAAAGTTGCGGTATACTCCTCGTAATCCTCCACCTCAATTTCTATGTTTGGAGCTTCTACGCCTTTTCTGCTTAACAGCTCCACCCGCACCAACTCCCTTTGGTGTCTTCGCCTTTCATCATAGGTGGTCGCCTTTTATCACAGGCGTTTGCACCCCTTCAATTAGGTGCATCTGCAACAGCTCATCCTTCCATCCTTGCATGCATTGAAAGGTCCTCGCTTGTTGCCTTTATCAAGAGCACAAGAGACTTTTGTTGTACAACTTTCTCATAGTCTCTGCTCTGAGCTTCATCTGGGAACTCTTCTTCTCCTTGCACCTGTTGTCTCATTATAGTACCTCGTTGGATCCTCCGGGTACTCCTACACAATCTTCATGTGCTCTCGTGCAATTTTGGTTCTCCAGATTTCTCCCTATTCCTTGTTTATGTTTGACAGCAGCTCATCCTGTCACAACATCTATCCAAGTTTAAATAGGGTGCCAATCTTTATCCCTTTGCTGTATTTCTCTTCCATTATCAGGGTCTTCATCAATTCTCCCCTCGAGAAATTATAGTCACCGAATCTAACTTCCTTAGAGAAATCACCACTCCATCAAATCCTTGATCATACGGAACCCAACTGTTCCTTTGTGCCGTCATCCTGCTAGTCTTCAACAGTTTCATAACAAACTGTCACATATACGAAAATAGTACCGTATGGATAATCCTTCCACTAAGCAAGTTCCCAGGAAAGATTGGAGGGGTCACAACGGTCCCGCTTAAAACCCAATCTC